GAAAAAGGTCTAAAAGAAATATTGATAAAAAATGGGGAAAAAAAAAGGGTTTAACAAAAAATTTTTGAAAAAAAGTTCAATCCGCAAACCGCCCGCAACCGCCAGCGCAACCACGAACCCTATCTGCACAAACCGCAAACCGCATTGCGGGCGGTTGCGGGTTGACTTTTCCTCAAACCGCATACATGCAGGCGGGTCCAAACCAAACCGCAAATCGTCCCAAACCGAACCGCGGACACCCGTAGTATAATCCCTAGGCTGGTGTCTGCAAGTAGACTCTACAAGTACTACCAAATTGTTATTTTTACTGGTATTAACTGGAAGGCTCGACACCTATCCGCGTGGTTTTTTGGTCTTTCACCATGGACACTCAGGCCAACTTATCAGATCATCCACACCCCCTATCTGGACTTACCACAGTATTTACCCCATACAGATCACCATAGTTCTTCTTTCAACATCACTTTCTTTTATGAAATAAATATCTTCAATTAAAATTTACAATGCAAAAATAATAATAATAATAATAATAATAATAATAATAATAATAATAATAATTAATGAATATACAATGCCAGGATCTTTCCATATCTCATAACACTTCTCCAATTTCTAAGTGCACAACAATTTGTCATCTCGCAACCATATATCATCATATCTTTAACCATAGTTTCTAAAACAAGTTCTCCATTTTTAACAACCACATTATGGAATCTACACACATTCGTCTTTTTATCAAAAGAGATGAAAGAATTCCATGAACATTTCCATATTTTCCAAAAATCCCCAAATTCTAGGGTTTTCATCAAAAACCCAACATTCTTCCCATTTCATGGTGAAATCCAATCAAAATCATATTTTCTTGAGTTTTAAAAAAAAAATTCCCATGGGTAGGATAAAGATTGAGATCAAAACCCATTTCTTCAAAACTTTCTCTATGTTTGGAGCAAAAATCGAAATCAATACAAAACTATAAGAAAGCTTTTAAATCATCATATATATAGCACAACATGTATATATAACTCAAGAAATTCCTACCTCAAGCTTAGAGGAGAATATGAGTGAAACAAGGCTGAACCCCAAAGTTGTTGAAACCAACTTCTACTTGGATCAAAACGAAGCTCTTGACGAGATTTACACTTAATCTCAAAGGAGCTAGGCGAGGAGATGCTTCCAAGTGAGTTGATTTGAGGATTTTTTAGCGAAAAGTGATTTTGGAGAGGATAGAAGAGTTACACGGCTTGGAGAAGGAAAAAGAGGGGAAAAGTAAAGAAAATGTTAGGTGAGGGACCTATTTATAGAACTAGGTCAACAAGAAACAAAGTCCCAAAGTCAACCCAAAAGACCATGTGATACCCCTGTTCCGTAATATGTTAATTGGTCCTTAATATGAGTATGATTGTGTTTAATATGATTTTGTGTGCCATTATGTGAAAATATGTGGTTTTGAATTTCTATCTATTCACCGTAGGAATATCTGTTTGATCATTTGCTTTGGAAATTAAATTGAAGGCCTTATCGGCCATAGAACCCGAAATTGATTACGCCATTGTGATTGGCATAATTTTTAGAGCCTACGGTGAAGTTTAATTGAAAAATTGATTCGAACCAGATTAAGTTGATTAAATTGGTGAATTAGTGCCCAATTATTTATTATTATTAAATGGTGCTAGTGGGAACTTATGTAAAGAGGCACTACACCCTCTATTCTCTCCTTATAACTTCATTTGGCTGATTTGAACTCAAGATAGAGAGAGGGCCGGCTATAGAGAGAGAGAGAGGGAGAGAATTGTGTAATTTTTGGCTCAAGCTTGGAGATTTGAAGATTTAACTCAAGAATTGACTAGAGCTTGGGTGTTTGAAGCTCCTAGGTGAGTGAATTTGCGTATATTAGTTGTAATTTTGTGAATTCAAGTTTGATTAATGGTCTAGAACTTGGATTAGTTTGATTATAAGGGAATTGAGTTGATTTTGTTGTATTTGAAGCCAATAGATGCATGCATGTAGAAATTACTATGTATTTCCATATTTGAACACAATGTGCATGATCTATGTTGAATCTTGTATGGAATCCATCTATTTGATCGTCTCTTCACCAATTAAGTTGATATGAATGAATATTTCTCACATGCAAGAGTAGATCATGGAGATATGAGCTTTGCATGTTTGAATTTGATGTGTTGGTGATGAGTTTGGGTTAATTTGAGGCATGCATGTAAGTAATTCAAGAAATTGAGCTTCATTGTGTGGTAATTTGGTGTTGGCATCATGTTAGTATATGTATATGCGAAATTTGAGCCATGGCATGCAAGAAATGTTGGTTAGAGTGTTGGATTCGAGCTCAAGAACCATTCTAGAAAACCCATAATTTTTGATGTCCGCTCGAGCAGGGGAACCGCTGCTCGAGCGGGGAAGTTGACGCTCGAGCGGGGAGCCATGTAGAGAGGCCTTCCGCTCGAGCGCCGGAGTGGACGATCGAGCGTAAATTCGACCTAACCAGTACTTTTGAAGGCCTCAAGGGTCCGCTCGAGCGGGGAAGTCCACACTCGAGCGGGGACCCTGTTTTCTGAAATTTTGAAAAGACATTTTGTGTTTCATTTTCTGTTCTCTTTCACTTCCAAGTACTCTTAGGCATGCATTGAGCATTGTAATTGAACTAAAGAGATAAGAATGAAGCCTAAAGAGGAAAATGTGAATTTAGAACAGATTCAATTGTTTGTGACCATTTTGTGTTCATGGAATATGTAGGGTCGAGCTCCAGGGCAAACCAATCAACCGATCACTGTGAGTAATATCTTAACAAAGATATCTGAAATATGTTGTTGTCCAAATTGCTTACTTCTATGTAAGTTTTATAAGTTCATTGATTCGATTGGTGGACAATGGTTGTTATACTAAATGATTGGGCCAGAGGCCGTTTTGATAAGAATGAATGAATGGGCTGGAGGCCGTTTTGACAAGAATGAATGAATGGGCCAGAGGCCATTTTGACAAGAATGAATGGATGGGTTGAAGGCCGTTTTGACAAGAATGAATGGGCCGAAGGCCGTTTTGACATGAATGGATGGGCCGAAGGCCGTTTTGACATGAATGAATGGGTCGAAGGCCGTTTTGACATAAATAAATTGGCCGAAGGCCGTTTTGACATGAATGGATGGGCCGAAGGCCGTTTTGACATGAATGGATGGGCCGAAGGCCGGTTTGACATGAATGAATGGGCCGAAGGCCGTTTTGACATAAATGAAAATTTTGAATGGGCCAAAGGCCAGTTTGTTAAGAATCGCAGTCACACGACTTAAATTGTGTATATATGCTAAATAAAAATATGGATTGGGCCCAAGGCCGTTTGAAGTTTGTTGTTCTACATATCGTTTGTATAACTTCTGTATTTGATATTATTCATTGGGCTATCGCTCACGCTCATTCATGTATTTGTAGGTGAGCCAAGAGAGGTCCAGACCCAGCCTCAGTGAAGCTTGTGTGGAACAACCCAAGTTTTGGCGAGTCAGCCCTTACGTCTCACGCATGAGACCCGTCTTCGCTCTTTTGTTGTCTTGTTTATTTTGTCATGTTGGCGAGGACTTTGTGTATACCTGTATATAGTATTGATGGGTTGACTTAGACTTATATGATTCTGTCTGTACAGAACTTTATGGTACTATTTTTCCGTTGTGAGTTATTAATGTTTACATGTTTGGTTTATTTGATGTGCCATGTAAGCACAGCTCTATGGACAAAGTTTTAAATTTTGCTTCCATTTGGCCCCTTTACTCTGATGAGTTATGTCTGATTTGGTTTAAGGTCGTAGGTAATCTCAGGATTACTGGCCGGTTATGTCCTTAACCCATAGTGGCGGGTTCAGGTCATGACAAACCAAGTTAAAATCCCCAAAAAGTTAAGCCAAAATCGGACTGGAATCTAGAAAAAAAATCTGCAGGGGTCGACCCTTTCAACACAGGGGTCGACCCTATGAAGAAACTTATGTTTGACAGCATGCAAGAGGGTAGACCCTTTCCAGACTGGTGTCTACCCCAATTTCCAGCAAGCAAACTTCAGAAACAAAGGGTTGAGACTTCCCAGACTGGTGTCTACCCCAATTTCCAGCAAGCAAACTTCAGAAACAAAGGGTTAAGACTTCCCAGACTGGTGTCTACCCCAATTTCCAGCAAGCAAACTTCAGAAACAAAGGGTAGACCCTTCCCAGATTGGTGTCGACCCTTGTGACCAGCAACAAAAAGATGGTGTCGACACCTCCAAAACCGGTGTCGATCCCAGAACAAGATTTTTAAGTTTCCAAACAACTTTTCAATGTAAACAAGCGTGAACGAGCAATCCCAACAAGTTTAAATCAATTTGTACTCCCCCAAAACTAAGGTACAACCACATCAAAGATTCCCAAAATAAAATAAAGGATTCAAATGCACTTCCCAAAAGATTTTAAAGGACACAAGTGCTACATCGTATGAGTTCTGATTTAGTTGCTGATTTGATTGTTGAAGGTGTTCGTGATGATCTATTGACACGTCCAGTTCATGTTGTTCGCGATTTTAAGTTAGGGTTTGGGCTGAGAGTTAGTTATCATCAAGCTTGGTTGGGGGTAAAGAAAGCAAAGGGTGATATTTTTGGAGACTACTTAATGTCATTTGACTAGTTAAGATAGTATGTTAGATGTTGCAAGAGTTGCAATCCAGGGAGTTACATTGAGTTTGAGTGTGACAATGATATTAAATGGTTTAAGAGATTATTTGTTGCTTTTCATGGATCCATTAGTGGATTTGATTATTGCCGACCTCTCTTATTCCTTGATGGCACATTTTTTAAGGGAAGATTTAGAGGAAATTTACTTGCCGCTATAGGAAAAGATGGAAATCAAGGTACACAAAAAATCTATTTTCTCTGTTCTGGAATTGAGAAAGTTCTCAGTTTAGAAATATGATTGAATTTTTAAATTTTTATATAATATTGTTGTTGTATATGCATTTTTTATTTTTACAGTTATTCATTTTAGTGTTTGATATTTTGAATGTTAAAGTGTTACCATTTTCTAAGAATAATAGAATATTCTCATTTTTTCTGTTTTGTACATGCAGATTTCTTTCCTGTTTGTTTTGGAATTGTTGGCTCAGAGAATCAAGACAACTGGCGTTGGTTTTTAGAGCATTTGAGTACAATTGTTTCACCAGAATGAAATATTACATTCGTGTCAGATCGTAATCTTGGATTAGTTGAAGTTTTGCCAAAGGTTTTCCTAATGGCTTTCCATGCATATTGTTTATATCATTTGAAGATGAACTTGAGGCATCATTTGTGTGGTATGTTTCGTGGATTGAAAGAAAAACTGATCACTGTGTTTAGGAAATGTGCATATGCTCCAACTGAAGAAACATTTCATCAATGTTTGGTAGAGTTAAAGACTGATGATGGGCCAAGAGTTGAAAAGTTTTTAGATGACATACCATATGATCATTGGAGTAATGCATATTTTCGAGGGCAACGCTTTGGAGAGATGTGGTCGAATGTAGCTGAATTTTTTAATTTGTGGATACGGGAAGAACGCCATATGCCTATCACAAAGTTGATTGATAGTGTAAGAATTAAGTTGATGAGGAAAATTGCTAAGATGACGGATCTTGTTAATAAATGGAATGGTGTGATATGTCCTAAAATAGAGTCCAAGTTGCATAATGCTTTTAATACTTCGAGGCCATGGATTGTTAGTTCATTTGGGAATGATGTCTATGAGGTGCTTTCACATCCATCTGTTTCAGTTGACATTAGTAGACGAATATGTTCTTGTGGCGAGTGGCAGTTGAAAGGGTTTCCATGTGCACAAGGAGTTGGTGTTATACAAAAGAGTGGACATGATTTGAGTTTATTTGTTGGTCAATACTTCTATGTTCAAAGTTATCGAGAGTCCTATTATTTTTCAATATATCCTCTTCCTTCAGTTTGGAAACCAGATTGTAATGCTGATGGTGAAAGTGATGTTGTTCTTCCTCTTTTGTCTAGGAAGCAACCAGGAAGGCCAAATAAGAAGAGGATTTGTTCTAATGGTGAGAAAGTAAGGCAAATTACTTATGGTAGATGTGGAAAGGTTGGCAATCACAATAAAAAATCGTGTAAGGAGGCTTTGTGTTTTTTTGTAGGTGGTTTGTGATTGTAAAAATTTCATATTCATAAATTTCTTAAAGTAGCAGTTTGTATTGTTGAGAGCTGAATAATAATCTTCTATGTTTTGAATAAAGTGACATTGAATTAAAAGTGAAGATATTTCTCAATTTTGAATTTTAGTTTTGAAATTGTTTGTGAGAATATTGTTTGTTGGCTTTGTGTTTGTTTTTAATGTGAATTATTTGTTTGGTTGGCTTTTGTAAATAAACTTGACTGTTGAATGTTTGTTTTGAAGATTATGTAAATATTGTATAAAAAGTGAACATATTCTCAGTTTAAGGTTTTAGTTCAAAATAGCTGATTTTGTGATAATAGTATGAGGCTCTTGTTATGATTTGAAACTAGTTATAAATGTGATCAATTGAATGAATGTGAATTAATATTCTAAATAGATGTGATCAATGCTCTATGCCTTGAATAAAGTAACAGTGGACTGAAAGTGAAAATATTATTTGTTTCAAATTTTAGTTTTTCAAATTGTGATAATATTGTGAGGCAACAAATAAATTGTATCGATAATATTGTTGTTTTGAAAATTGAGTGAACACTGTATAAAATTGAAAATATTCTCATTTTTAAGTTTTCAACTTCAAAATGTGATAATATTGTGAGGCAACAAAACACTGCATAAAAACTGAAAATATAAACAAAAACATCAACAAAGCATTGATTGTGATACAGTAAAGTCTTGTGTCCACTATTTTCACATGTAACACTATTTTCACTTTTCCCATATAGTAGTGTGAGGAAGAGGATAATGGAAACTGAAAATATGGATAAAAACATCAAGAGAAGCCCTGGTGCATATACCTTTGAGAGTATAACAAAATATTCCATTACATATCATAGAAATTGTAATATGTTTGTGAGGCAATATGCTTGCAACTATCAACAAAAACATTAGTCATTGTATCAAAGTGTGACAAAAAAGAGTTCATTGAGTTACACATCAAAAAAGATTCATTGAATTTTGCAATCTTGGTACTTAACTCTGATTGATCTTTGTGGATCACTAAGGAACTCATGTACCATGTCTGCTCTCAGTGTTGTGGATGTGCCTAGTGGTAATGTGTTTGGAATTGGTTGATGCCTTATGTATTGTCTTATGATGTAGCAAACAATAATTCCACAATCAGCCCTACTGAAATTATTTTTGACACATTTAGGGAAAAAACAAATAATTTTGAAAAATATATTAAAATTTGTTAGTTACAATAAACATAACATATGTCATTGCTTCTTGTTGAGGGTTGTCTTTGATTGATTCAATTTTCACATCAGGATTCCATACTTTTTCTGCTTGACAAGGTGTATCCTTCATGTATTCAGTGATGATTTTTTGCTGTTAAAAACATCAATATAAAGTTTGCAATGATTTACATTTGATTATTGTAATGGTAATCTAAAATTGTTCTTACCAGTTGATATGCAACGTTGTAGTGCTTGTCCTTTCCTTTTCTTGGTCTCAAAGAGTTGAAATGTTTCCAAGTCCCCAAGTGTTTGTCGATAACAAGTAATGTCCAATGATTGGAATTGTGGATGGGGATATGGATGTATCTACATGTGACGGATTCTTGCAAAGTATTTTTCAAAATCTTTTTCCTTTTTTCTGAAGTTTTCTTCTTCAACATTGGCTATTTTTTTACAAAAAATATGAGAATATTCATAGCAATGGTACGAAACTCAATATTCAAATCTCGATCAAAAGCAACAAAACATGATTAAGTACGATTTGTCACTCAAATTGTTTTGAAATCTGAGTACATTCCCAGCAATGATACCAAACTCAAATTTTGGGAACATTCACAGGAATGATAACAAACAAAAAAAAATGAACTTTGAAACCAAAATCGAAAGGAAGATAAAGTATAGAATTGACACATGCACATTTATTCCTTATCCAATGTAGACTTGGCAATACGAAAGACTTGCCATTGTGCTCTGCTCCATCACCAGAATTCTGTGCTTGTGGATCTCTTTCAAGAATCTCAGCATATGAATCAATTGTCTGTCAAATTGGAACACAAAAGTGATGTTAATAAATTAATAAGAAGTTTTTCAGTGTTAAAATATTGCAAATTTTATACGTATACAAGTGGATATGTCGTTCCCTTTTACCAAGCTCTTGATATCATTAATAAAGACACAATTGTCATATCTTGCACCAAACCATATACAAGCACTACAAAATAAGAAAAAATGTGTCAATAATTAATTCAGAATATTTTTAGAAAACAGTGTTATTTCTCAGTTTCATTTCATAGTTTGTATTGCATGAAAAATTGCAAGATTTATGTAAGATTATATGTTGATTCTATTTTCTTTTGTTTCCAAAGAATTTGTAGTTTATACTTATCTTCAGGAGGTAGCAATTGAGCCACAAAATACTTGTAAGAAATTGTCTCATCTTTGTGTTCCTTCTCTTTCTCAACTTTGACATTCTGGCCTCCATACTCATAATCTGATATCTCAGTAGTTTCCCGTGCTTTAGCTTTGATGTTTTTAATCATGGAATTCTGCAGATTTGTTTGTCTTGATTTTGTCAAATCATCGGCTTTTATTGCACAAACTTGTTGGGTTAAGTCTTAGGCCTCTTCCTCTATTAACTGATTCTACAATTGACAATTTTGACAATCTTTTGTTGCAAAAGATTGTTGCGTTATCTCATGGACCTCTTTTTGATGGAGCTCTTTGTTTACCACTTCAGAATTTTCATAGACCTTTTTTTGCACCACTTGAGAATTTTCATCTTTTATAGTATGGCCTACATTCTTTGCATCTGTCCCAGAATTCTTTCCTCCACAAACTTCTTGAGTTATCTTATGGACCTCTTTTTCAACCAATTGGTTATGCAATCGAGAATTTTCATCTTTCAATTGTTGTATTTGTGCGGTGAGTAGCTTGTTATCCTCTTCAAGTTTATTTATGTAGACGGTCTTCACTGTGTTGTCAAGTTGCAAATTGTTGTTCTCAGTTTGAAGTCTCTCAAGTCCTTGTTGATGAATGTGTTCTTCTCCCTCAAGTGCATCATTGATCATAATGTTGCACAAGCCATCAAAGTCTTCATTTGTGTCTCGTTGATTGGCATCCCATATAGCAATCCCGATTTTGACCCGACCTTTGTTACATCCCGGACTCGGGCTTCGTGGTTTAATATTGTATCCATGTCTTGTTTTCCTCCTTTAACACTTCGAATTTGAGTTTTGGAATATATTGGGCGTGTTTGGAACATGTTGGTTGTTAGTCAGTCTAGATTGTTATTGCCCAGATTTTAGCTTCTTCGCTCGAGCAAGGATTCTTGTGCTCGAGCGAGCCTTGTGAAATTTGCTTCTTTGCTCGAGTGAGATTTCTTGCGCTCAAGCGAGCTTTGTGTGCTCTCAGTATTTTACTCAGACACAGAAGTTTTGGAAAGGTTGAGGACTTCGCTCGAGCGAGGCTTCTTGTGCTCGAGCGAGCATGTGCGTCTGTAAAACTGTAAGAACCCACATTTTATGTCTTAGTCATGTTCATGAACATTCGTATGGTTATGGCTTGATAAACTTGCATTGTATGTTGTGACTTGTTTTGTTTAAGTAGGTAAGGTCCGTGCCTTGTTTTGAAGCCTTGTGCCTTGTCTAAGTGTTGCATGCTTGTCTTGTTCTTTCCTTGATGTGAAACTTAGGTCACGCCTTGCCTGAGTTATGTTAGCCGATGTTATTCCAAGCCTAGGTTACGTTATGCCTAGATCATTCCAAGCCGAGGTCATCCTCAGTCTAGAAGCATCTGCCACGTGGGAAAAGGAAGAGGAGATGAAAATCCGTTACCCGGAGTTATTCGTAGGACAAGGTAACTTGAGTTTGGGGACCAAACTTCTTTAAGGAGGGTAGACTGTAAGAACCCACATTTTATGTCTTAGTCATGTTCATGAACATTCGTATGGTTATGGCTTGATAAACTTGCAATGTATGTTGTGACTTGTTTTGTTTAAGTAGGTAAGGTCCGTGCCTTGTTTTGAAGCCTTGTGCCTTGTCTAAGTGTTGCATGCTTGTCTTGTTCTTTCCTTGATGTGAAACTTAGGTCACGCCTTGCCTGAGTTATGTTAGCCGATGTTATTCCAAGCCTAGGTTACGTTATGCCTAGATCATTCCAAGCCGAGGTCATCCTCAGTCTAGAAGCATCTTGGAACCCCATGTTGACCTTCGTCCTTGCCTTGACACATTAGCCAAGATGTTACCTTGCACCCAAGTGATCTCGTCCTGGAGTGGTATGACCTAGACCGGGGTGTGGCGCATCTAGGCCAAGATGTGGCACAGCTTAGTCAAGTGTTGTCCTTCCTAGCCGAGGTCATTGTCACCTTAGTTGCCGAAGTCCTTTCGTTAGCCGATGTCACCCCTTGCCGGAGTGCCATTCCGTGTAGCTTGTTAGATACGCCTTGTTATTAGCCGATGTCATTGCCTCGTCAGAGAGCCCATACCGCTTTACTTGTTGAACACCCTTCCACCATGCTTTGTCTGGTCTGTCAGCCACCTTTTCAGGGAAAACCCAACCAGTCGCCGCCACGTGTCTCAGCAGAGGGTTAACCCCAGAACCGGGTAAAGAAAACTATCATTTGGTATCATAACCTTGCCTTGTAGAGAGAGAAACTCTAGGAGGAAAAAGGAGTTTTAGAGCGAGGAAGTAGATCTTCAAGCTTGATTCCTAGAGATCGAACCGTTAGATCCGTGTTCTAAGGTTAGATTCTTGATCTGCTCATGATGTTCTCTATGTTTATGTCATTGCATTGCATGATCGGATATGATTTGTAAGCCATGCATCGTTTTGAAATTCGGTTTTAGAAAGAGAAAATGACATTCATGTGTTCTTCAAGAAAAGTCATGTTTCGATCCGAAAGCTTTTTGCCCAGACTCACGTTTTGTGTTTGTTCTTGCATGATTTTCAAGTATGGGTACCCAGGTCCATGTTTTCAAACTCGTAGCATGAAAATCCCAGATTTTGTAATAACAGATT